TGGGAGAGCTGGGGTCAGCCCCATCTTCTTGTGTGTGTGTGTGTGTGTGTGTGTGTGTGTGTTGGCAGAGAGAGGAAGGCAGGGAGGGAGGGGGAGTGGGTCAGTCAATCTTTGTGGGATGGGGCACACTTCCTTTGTGCCGGCGGCTCAGTGTCATTAACACTGAAGTGTGGGAAGCCCAGGACCACAGCAGCTCCCACGTTCCACACAGGCAGGAAGGGAGCGTGTGACTGAGACGTGGCCAGCAGCTCCCACCTGTGTGTGTGTGTGTGTGTGTGTGAGAGAGAGAGAGTGGGAGGTACAGTGCTCAGTGAGAGTGTGTCTGTCTGCCTGATGTGTGAACATGTGCCTGGAGTGTGGAGACTGTTGGGTGTTTACAGCTGTAACAGCTCAGAATCATGACAAACACCTTCAGATTACAGCCCACAGACTGGACTTCAAAAGACACTGTCTCCTTCACACGGCAGCCTCCGCTGTCGGTGCTGATTATTGGTTAATGGTTGGCTCTCAGCCAGAGACCCCATTGGGATTATCAGTGTATACTTGAAGTAAGCTAAGAACAAAACAAATCAGTAAGAAAATTAGAAAATGTGGAATTCTAAGATGGCTGTCGCTGCTCTGTCAAGTATAATCACATCGTTCATGTCTTCCTTCTGTTCTTTATTTCACACCTGGGCTGTTTGTATATATGTATGTATATATATGTTTCTCTGGGTGATGGTGACCTGTTTTATGAGGGACATTTAAAGTTTCATTTCATAGCTGTCGTTCTTCCACAAAGACAATTCCTGATCAACCTTCAAGTGGAAAATCCTCATTATTTTCAAAGCTCATTATGTATCCTTAACCCCTGAGTTTTTTAAGCTTCTTGATAACAGGTCACATCAAATACCTAAACCTTTGGCATGTAGAGTTTGTTTAGTTGTGAATCAGTATAAAATAAGTAGTTCTTTATTTATTTTATACCGTTGTTCTCCAGATCATCTGTATCTCCTGGCAGTAGTTATGAAGCTTTAGAAAAGAAAGTGACTTCAGACTTTAGCATTTTAGGTACAGCATTTCTGTACCTTATTCTCTTTCGTCCTCACACGTCATCAATATAATTTTTTTCTGTTCAATAATCAACCTCTGGAGCATCTCAACCGTTGCACGCCTGCGTGCTGACAGAAGGAAGTCTGCCGTGTCACCCTGGTGGAAGTGGCTGCGTGTTGATCTTTTCTAATGGCTGCCCCTCACTAATACCCACGTGTGCCTGGTGGCGGAGGCACTTTGTGCTCAATTACGAGGCGTTGGAGACGACACGACACAGCGGCATGCTTCCCTCTGGGGTCACCACTTTCCCATATCAACACAAGCATTGGGTCATAGTAGCCCAGCTATACGACTCCCCCACACTCTCACCCCCACCGGTGCCACCGCAGCCCCTCCACACCCTCCACCCTCGGGCTCTTTCTCTCGCAGTCTATTCCTCCACCTGCTCCCCGGAGACACACTCATTGTCCCCACGGCTATAAACACTTCATTGAGCATGTGGCAGCCCTGCGTTCCTCAAAGCCCTTCCCAGCGCTCCCATTGGCTCAGGGACTGTGAGAAACTCCAACAAGCCCAAGACCCACACATTCATATGGAGATTTGTGAGTATAAATACAGGGCAGGGGCAGAGAGGAAGGCAGCTCAGACTCAACTGGCTCTTCTACCCGAGCAGGACCTCTCTGACACTACAGCTATGGCACCGATCGTCTATGGACAAACAAGCTACTCCAAGGAGCACCTCACTCCTGCACATAAGGTAAATATCCTTTACAATCAAATCATTTTTTATGAAACACAGACCTTTGAAATTTAAAAAGAAAAACTTCTGCTGTTATTCAGGTGAATTAAATGTGTTTTCTTCTTGTTTCCTTCAGCTGAGAAAACCAATGGTGGAGAAACTGCGCAGAGACCGCATCAACACCAGCATCGAGCAGCTGAAGGCCCTGCTGGGTCCAGAGTTTCTCAAGCAACAGCCAGACTCCAAGCAGGAGAAGGCTGACATTCTAGAGATGGCTGTGTCATACCTGAAGAAATGGCAACAACAGAAGCAGCAGCAGCGTGTCAGCTTCACCCCTGGCATGAAGTCACCCAGTGATGGCTACACCCACTGTGTGCAGGAGGCCCTCACCTTCCTGTCTCACTGTGAGGTCCAAACCCAGGCTCACAGACGTCTGATCAGTCACTTCCAGGGCCTCCAGGCGTCTGGCAGCAGCAGCAGCAGCAGCAGCAGCTCCTCTCCTCCTGGTTCTCCTCTCCATCACCTCAGCTCCAGCACTAAAGGCATGAGCCCGGCTGGATGTGGTCTGTGGAGACCCTGGTAGAAATGGAGCTAAACGCTGAAAGACTCAGAACTACGTCTGTGAAGGTCATGGACCAAAGTTGTCGGACTCAATGGAGTCTATTATTATGGTTGGAGAGAATCCTCACTTTTGTTGAGGTTCTGGTTTAGAGTGTGCAGAGGTGGGCTGAGTGGAAGAACTCCAGTTCCTCTGAATATGTACACCAGGTGTACACACTTGATTCGATAAGTGATTTGGAGCAAGTATTTGTAAAATCTTCCTTTTGGAAGAATTCTGTTTGTTTTACAAACGTTACTAGGTGTAAAAACCCCCGCCCACACGTCTGATCAGCCACTCCCAGGGGCGCCAGGCGTCTGCCAGCAGCAGCAGCAGCAGCAGCAGCAGCTCCTCTCCTCCTGGTTCTCCTCTCCATCACCTCAGCTCCAGCACTAAAGGCATGAGCCCAGCTGGATGTGGTCTGTGGAGACCCTGGTAGAAATGGAGCTAAACGCTGAAAGACTCAGAACTACGTCTGTGAAGGTCATGGACCAAAGTTGTCGGACTCAATGGAGTCTATTATTATGGTTGGAGAGAATCCTCACTTTTGTTGAGGTTCTGGTTTAGAGTGTGCAGAGGTGGGCTGAGTGGAAGAACTCCAGTTCCTCTGAATATGTACACCAGGTGTACACACTTGATTCGATAAGTGATTTGGAGCAAGTATTTGTAAAATCTTCCTTTTGGAAGAATTCTGTTTGTTTTACAAACGTTACTAGGTGTAAAAACCCACATTGGGTGTGAAGTGTTATCATGTCTGAGACATTGTTTGACTAAAGTGTTTGAACCACTGTTTATCTGTGATACTGTGTATCACTCGCTGATGTGTTTCTTCAGTGGCTGTAACCAGCTCAAACTAAATGGATCCCATGGATCCAGACTTCCTGTAAATCTTGTTATGATTGTGTTCTACCGTGACCATCACCGTGGCCATTGTGTTCCTCCTGATGTCCTTACATGTTAACTGATGTATTTTTCCATCTTGATGTGAATGCCTTTTGTAAAGGAGTCTATGTTTTCTGCAATCTTTGTTCAAAGAAAGCTGTTGAATTGCTTCCATTGGAAGTTTGCCTTCGAACGTTTCAAACAAAATAAATGAAAAACTTCAACTGAAGTTTTCCAAATGAAAAAAAATCCTGCTTTATTGCTTTACTCTTTCTCTATTCAACAAGCTAGATATCTATCTAGATAGTGTCCAATGTCACTGTGGACCTAACTAACCATCAAACCGGACTTGGCTGACACCTCGAGGTCCATGGCCTTGATGCCATGGAGCCCACGGCCCACAGCCTAGATTAGGACACATGTTGTACTAGACCAGGGGTGTCAAACTCATTTTCACCAGGGGCCACATTAGAAATAGAGTTCCCATTAAATGGGCGGTTGTAAATGGAAGACTGTATAGATCAGGGGTCCCCAAACCCTGGTCTGAGGACCAGTACCAGTCCATTTGGTGCCGGGCTGCAGTGAGACAGTGAAAAAATCGACTTAATTTTTACTAATTTACTTCCTTCAAAGAAAATCCTGTCATATCCATTTACTTCCTTTATTTAAAGATATTCTGGCAATATTTTTAAATAATAGTTCATTCAGACTGATACAAACAGAATAGAGTCTCAAAGATGTTTTATTCTGAAAATGTAATGATCCTTAAATGCTCAATACTCAATACCGGTCCGTAGTAACAGGTGGTGATGTAACTACTTCCTAACAGACTAATACATGTTTCTGCAATTGTAAAACCTTTTTTTCAGGTTACGAAACTCTGTTGCATGGACTGGGGGCCACACAAAATGGCTTGGCGGGCCGCATTTGGCCCCAGGGCCTTGAGTTTGACACGTATGTACTGGACTGTTAGAATGTTTCGCACATTTTGTACAGAAACTGAAGGACTTTAGTTGTTTAGTTGTTACTATTTTAGTAGAAAACAATAGTGACAAGTTCAGTTGTGACAGAGTTTCAAAAAAATAAAAAATGAAAAAAAATCAGAGTCAACAAGAGTCAAAGAAGGTCTGTTTATGAAGGTATTATTCAACAGAAAAAATATGATTTTTTTTTTAGGTGGTGACACTGTTGAAAAGACACTGAGTTTAGTGGGTTGGGACTGAGTCCAGATTTGGACCGGGATGGACAGAGAGATGTGTTTGACCGTCCTGAAAACAGACATGATATGTAGCTGCTGAACAGGAGAAAAAGTAAAAGCTGCTGCTAGATTCAGGTGGAGCCAAACCACAGTGTAACTGTATCAGTGCCTCTAAACAGGCCAAACCACAATATCATCTAAACTGTTCCTAATAATCTGGGCAGGTTCAAAAAGAACAGAAATATGAGGAACACTTTTTGTTTTTCTTGAAAAGATTTGGAAAACTATCATTATCTAAGGGAATAATAAGTATTTAAAAATATTCATGTGGTTTAATGTATGATTCATATTATTTTCAAATACATTACGTATTTTGTTTCTGTTTAGATTTCGTTTAGTTTACATGAGTTGTAGCAGGAAGGTGTAACCGGATGAGAGCTGTGGCTAACTGTCTGTCTCTGTGACTGTGAGTGAACACCTGTGTGATGGATTATCATATCCATCTAACTACAGGTGGTTGGACTTGGTTTTTTTCTGTGTACACACATCATGAATTCCCTTTTTTATGATGCGTTGTTCCCACAGTGATCACTAACATTCCCTCTTATCTCACCTTCCAGGTGCACAGCTGCTTCGAAACCACTGAAACCACGGCTCTGTGGTGAGACAGTCCCTGCTCCACTTATGACACATGTCCCACTGCTGGCGTTGTGGTCGTAGCATGTTGTCTTGGACTTGAATTATGTCTCGAGTGCCACAAAAGTCTTTCATGACTTTGTGTGTGTGTGTGTGTGTGTGTGTGTGTGTACGGTGTGGGGAATGTGGCATGCCTGGGACTTTCTCAGGCTCCACTTGGACAGGCCAGATGGTCTGGCTGTTGCTGCCTCCCCTCCCCCTTCAACAGGAGATCAAACACCGTAGCTAATGTGATGTGTAACAAGACACACTTCTATTGTTCCTGTCTCAGGGCCAGTGAATAGGCGCAGAGTGTGGGAAACAGGAGATACCACACTCACAGAGCGATGGCTGATGGGAAGCCACAGGTCTGAACGATGGCCGAGACTTTATGGCAGGAATTCAGGGGCTCTCTCTCTCTGTCTCTCCCTCTCCCTCTCCCTCTCTCGGGGTGCTGGTGGGAGGAAAACTCATCTTCACACACACTTGTAGACAAAGACCCCCAGCAGCCGTGTAGTGCACACTAACGTTCAGAGGAGGCACAATTTCACACAAACACGTCGACAATGCCGTCAGCGGAGAGGGTAGATGACAAAGGCAAACGTGAACGTGACTTGACACAGTGACGCTTTGTGTCTTTTCACATGAATAAAGAGTTGGAAGAGCTGTTTACCCACAAACACACATCACACACAGTAAACACAGTGATTAGTGAAACACCCAGACGTTGGTGCCTTCATGGAGAAGCATCAACAAGCTGCACTACGAACCGGATTAGTATTACTGTTGTGACTTCAGTGACTTAATTAAAACTTTAATCACTCCTCTCAGCATTGAAATGACTGGCTGAACCAGTAAATTAAAAAAAAAAGTCAGTTCAGACCACAGTCGGACGCAATGCTCACTGCCAAGCAGTGAGGGCCAGTCCACTTGATTTTTTCCCAGATGGAGCGGGACACAGAGTTTCTGTTTGTCCTGCAACAAAAGATCAATTAACATTCCCAGTGGAGCATTGAGGAGTGACATGGCTTTTGTAGGTCATTTACCCTGATGTTGGGGATGGTGGGAAAGCAGAGATGGGACCAGTCACACTGTGGCCATGAGGCCGACTTCACATCTGGAGCCAGCCAGTGATGGAGGCCCTCAGAGGCACACTGCCAGCCCTGTCATAATGCCATTAACCTGACACTCATTTGACACAGTTCTCTTACAACAGGCCTCTGCACACCCTGAGGAGAACTAAGAACAGAGCTTATAATTAGATGCCTGAAGCCTTTTTATGTTTGTTTTTAAAGAACTCAACAGAACAAACAGATCTTTTAAAAATCAGTTTTAAGTTTTTGAACTCTGTGAAGGATGTCATCACCACCGACACAGTGGTCTGTCCTGTTAAATGAAAAATATCATTTCGAATGATGTTCTGACAGACATTTTAAAGCTGTTTTAGTTCAGGCTGTTACGGCATCCCACCTGTTTGTCCACCTCAATCACTTTATTGGTGTCAAAGTCCCACGACCCTGTTCAACCTAGAGATTCCAGCGGCAATATATGTAATATAAATGTGCATTTCTGTTCTCCGTGGTGTCCGAAGATAGACAACATAGACAACAAATGTACGAATTAATATATACATATATGTATAAATATATATCTACATATGTATGTAGATATATATATAGTATATGTATCTATATATCTTTGTAACTTGTTACTATTATATTCCTTGATATGTGTAAGTACTTTTTTTTCTTTTTCTTTTTTTTCTTTTTATCAATTTGTTTTTATTTTAGAGCATTAAACTTTGAAGAGAAAATTAAAGGCTCCAGTTACTTTTTACTGCTTTTTACTGCTGTCAAGCATTTGGTCCTTTATTGCCGTTTCCCGCCTTTGAAGACAGTACTCCTCTGTGTATATTACCTTTCTCTTTCAATTCTCAAAAGTCTACATTTTTAGATAAATCCCAGCGTAAATTCCTCTTGACAACACATTAATTACCTGTTGCTTATCTTGGGAAACACGCCGCACACAGATACATGGCCCCGTGAGTTATTGACATGTTCTATTGTTGCGCTGGGAGTCCCACAGGTCCGAGTGTGGGAACCCCAGCCCTGCCTCAGCCACAGGGCTTTGTCATGCTAATCAGCGGGTATAAAAAGAGGAGCTGCAGCTCCTTCGGGGCACATCACATCTCTCACTGCTGTCTAAAGGAAACAGCCCACCTGACTGCACAGACATGGCTCCCTGCTCTTCAAACTACTCCTCTGTGCAGCACATGAGGATTCCTGTCAGAGACAACCTCAAAGTAAGTTCAGGAGATCACTTCCAGTATATTCTGTGTCTACACTGTACAGTACAAATATCTGATCTGCAGAATTAGATCATGAACTTACCTTTCCTCTCTTCTGTTCCACAGCTCAGAAAACCCGTTGTGGAGAAGATGCGCAGAGATCGCATCAACAGCTGCATCGAGCAGCTCAAGACCATCCTGGAGAAAGAGTTCCACAAGCAGGAACCTAACTCCAAGCTGGAGAAGGCTGACATACTGGAGATGACAGTGAGCTTCCTGAGGCAGCAGCTCAAGCCCAGCCTCAGTCAGAGCGACTACAACCAGGGCTACTCTCACTGCTGGAAGGACTCTCTGCACTTCCTGTCTACTGTCTCCAACAGCACTGAAGCTTCCGTCAGTCCCCTGCAGAGCCTCCAACAGCAGCAGCAGCAGCAGCAGCAGCAGCAGCAGCAAGTCAAGCCCCATCAAGTCCAGAGATCCAGCAGCTCCACGCTCAGGTCTACCACACTACAGGAGACCAACAGCAGTAGCTCAGTGTGGAGGCCCTGGTAGAGACACTGTCAAAGAGAGACACTTGAGGGTACCACTGTTGTCCCTCACTATGTAGGAAATATTTTTCCAGCCTGCTCATTTCTGGTGGGTTTCACTTATTGTCTCATCACATTGATGGACAACGTAGCAAAAGCGAAAGGCTGTTGTGTATTTGAGGATCGTCCTGCTTTGTTTTGATCTGTTTGGTTTTGAAGCTGGAGGTTGATTTTAAGTGATGATGGTTGAGTCAAATCATTTTATTTAAGATACTTTTTTTTTACTCCAGTGGAGTTTGATCTGTGGACTCATGCTCGATAAGACAGCACATACAGTTTATACTGTCAATTTGACTTACTGTGTTTTACCGACAAGCTGCAGTTGTTGAGAATATTTCTCTTCTGTTCTGATTTATCTATGCCAAATTCACTGGGTATAAGTGATGATGCGTGTGTTCGGACGAGTGAGTGTGTATGTGCGTGCAAGAGAAAGAGAGATAGTAAATGTAATTATACAGCTCATGTTTATTTTTATTGCTTTTAATGCATTTTGGCTCTTAAAACATGTTGCTAATATTTGTATGACAATTAATAATGAATAAAACGATGCAATCACTACAAAAGTTCCTTTTTTCCATTTTTCACCAACCATACTGACCATCAGCAGCCTTATTTTCCTTCAGAATATCTAAAGACCAAGGGCGTAGAAGTGGGCATGGATGCTCATATCCAGCCACTACTGCGTAGTCACTATCCATACAATCGCTGTCCGTACTGTTTAGATAATGATTATGGCACACAAAGGGTTAACAGTCGGTAAACACTAGATGCCCCGCCTCTCGCTTAAATATCGCTCTCATTTGCCCTGCCGCTACAGGTCGTCCCTTCTGTCACTCAATCTTCTTTCCCTTCTCGATGAACGGAACCGGAAACAGCAACCGTGTGTAAGTTGCTAACATGTTCGGTATTTTTCTTCCTGGGTGAGGGCAGTTAGACGGAGTTCTATATCAGTGGTGTTATTTACATTGACATTTGCGTGTTTGGTGATCAATTACTTCAAGGGTATATAACTGTAGAGGCTCAACAAGCCATTGAATAAAATACAATATTTATTGCCAATGAGATATACTTTATCGCTATTTTAGTGCAGCTGTTTAAAAAACAAAGGAAATCTGTAAAGAAAAGGGGGGGGGATTTGACAATGCAATGCACAAAACAAACAACTAGAATAGTTAATTATTTACTATAGAAATAATCTATAAAAGTCTGGAGTTTAATGATGTCCCTCACTTCTGACTGGCAGGTGGACACAGGTTAGACCCAAGTTTTTGCACAAACTTCCAGGTGTTCTATACATTTTTTCACTTCAAAAGCTAACAACATGTACACATCTATTCATCCAATCCACAGTTTGACATAAAGCAAATCAAATTATCCATGAATTAAATCTACTATTACCCATCTTTATTAATTATAGCTGCATTTTAGAAATCCCTTTTCATAGAGAAAGTCCACAACAGGGGAAAAGTCAATAGTACTACACTGGTGTGAAAAAGTTATTTGGTACACATTTAGTTTATCTAATAGTATTTGGTGATAGTTTCTGGGTCAAATATAAAGCTTCAGGCCCTGAAGGCATGATTAATGAATTTGTCTTAATTCCATTTCTAGAAACAAAGATTTTATTTGAAATCTGCCAATTTGTACTTTTTTTTTTTAAAGCGCAAGTAAAATTTCAAACATGCCCAACACGAAATCAGACACACAATAACAAGTACCATGACTTTAACCCAATGATAACCCAAATACAAAATCCAGTTCTTTATCTTCACTTTAGGACCACAGTCTTTGTCCCAGTGGACACATTAGTCCCTATGAAAGCTTTCAGGTTAAAGTGCGTGCGTACACACACACACACAGAGACATACGCATGCACACACTCACACCCTCTCAGTGCTGCTGTCGGCTGCTGTTGTTGTCCCAGATGAAAAGACCTTTTGTAGCTGAGAGGTCAGAGCTATTGACCAGCAAATGTGTGAGTAGAATCTGAGCGTGGCTTTCCCACAGTCCCTGTGTCCACTCACAGCCCTAACACTCCTGGTCAACAGTTGAAGTGTGCCACGGATGAACAAGCAGGACTTTTGTTGTCAGCACACCAACCACCAGGACTGAGTTTGAACCAGTTTTGTTTCAACAGAAACATTGATATGTAAAGTTTGTAAAGTCATCTTTCTCAGAATTTATTTATAGCACATAAAAAAACAGGAGCAACAACAATGTTACAAGCTGTTAAACAGCTGCTGGAGTCAGTGATCTCCCATTGCATCATTGATTAATTAAGCATCAGTATCATTTAATGTAGTTCAAAATAGGAAATAACTCTGATAGAAAAAATGTGATAGAACCAAACTTGAACAGAACACCTCAAAAGATTGAAGAGATTGGGAATTCTTCCTAAATGTTAACCTCGTGAGTGCCTCACAAATCTGAATCTCTTTACTGCTGTAATTGACACTCCCTCTCAGTGCTACCTATTACATTTAACCTTATCATGAAGTGTTCCCTGGGTGCACATCAGCTGCTGTGTGTAATTAGTAACTGCAGTGTGTGATAAGCAGCAGTGTCTGATGATAAGACCCTGACAGCATATCATTCGTGGTGTGATATAAATCTGGAGGATGGTTTTATCTCTGCTGCTCAGGCTGTGGTCGTCCTCACCTCTCAGTTATTGATGTGTCCTCCTGTTGTCACAGCTCTTTGTGATGCTAATATAAACCATTAAAATAGAGTGTCTCCTCCACGCATATCTCTCCGTTCAGTATCATCTAGAAAAGGCATTTCTTATCACAACCATATGTTCAATCTGGCTTCGTGCTCCATCAATAACTTTTCTACTGAAACCAATAAATGTGTTTTCCATACATTACCGTAGTAGTTTCTGAATTATTTTAGCATACACCGTTAATAGTAATTTATTTTGGGTACTGACAGAAGACGTAGCCTTGCAGAGAGAAGGTCACTGTTGTTATTTAGTTTAATCCCCAGATATTCTATTCTTTACAAGGAAACTTGCAATTTCTCCCTGTGTGTGTGTTCGGGCTTTCTCCAGGTATAGTGTATTCAGTGCACAGTAGTACAGCAGCTTCACCACTACAAAATATCATGTTTCTAAAAAATCTAAATGGACACAAATTTCCATTTGTCAGTTTTACTTACTGTTTCCGTAGTGTTTTAACTATATTCTAGTCTATTTATTATTCTTGTTCACTGTTTATTGTTTTAATATCCTGGTCCCAGAAAAACATTTTTGTTTGGGCATATTTTGGTGTTACAAGAAAAATCATTGAATCCTTATCTCCCACAGATGCCTCCATATTTTTATATGAATTATATCGGGGATTTTATTGTATAACAAACATTATTTTAGCTAAAGTTTATATATATCCACATTCTTTACATTAAATTAGGGTATGGTATCTTTCACTGTTTGCTCATTGTGTACATCTGAATGCAGTTCTGGAAATGTGCAGTAGTGTTCATTTGTGGTTTCAGGACAATGATATATATTTTGGGGAGGAAGTACCCTCCAAGCAGAGCCAGGACGCTGAAGAGGATAGCAAACACGTGAGCAGCCATAGTGAATGGACCTCTGCTGATAAGGTACAGGGTGAAGAAACTCATCCAGGAGATCATGTACACCATGAGGCTAAAGGTGACACACTTGGCTTCGTTGTAATTTGCTGGGAGGTCTTTTCCCATGTAGCTAAAACAGAAGCTGAGGGCGCTGAGCAGAAAGACATAAGCCAGCTCCAGCATAGAGCCTGGTGCCAGAGTGTTGCTGCACTCCAGGATGATTGAGTCTTTGTAGAAGTTAAGATCCTGAGAAGGCTTCGGGGGGTTAAGGGCCTCGCGGAGAGCAGAGATTAACAAGATGACGACAGACATTAGGAATATGGTGATCTCTGGCCCGGGCTTCTTGGCCCATTTGTCGTAGGCTGGTGGCAGTTTGGATGCAAATTTAAAAATGCAGACAACCTGGAGGGAGCGCACAGTGATGCACGCCAGGCACACGGTGAAGCTGACGATGAATAGGGGCTGCTTCAGGATACATGCCAGAGAGGACGGTGGGCCAAAATGGCATAAAGAGCTGAGGGTGGCAGCGGTCAGAGCTGCCAGCATAAGGAGGCAGGTGCGGCCTCCGGCGGACTTAGCCACAGGCGTGTTAAGGTTAACCAGCAGGATGACTGCAAAGCTGAGGGTCATGAGAAGACAGGTGGCCAGAAAGAAGAGCAGGGCGATGGAGAGGGGGGCGTCCCAGGCCAGCAGCAGGACCGTTCTATTCAAACAGTGGTCGCTGATCGGTGGAGACCACTGTTCTGGCAGACACGGTTGGCATATAGTTGGGTCTGAAATGATATTTATAAAGAAACAAACATGTGCAGTTACTTTATATTGTGTACACAGTGGTGTTTTTAATTATATTTTAAATTGTTCAAATCAAATTGAACTTTGGAAGATAAATTACAACAGCGAAATTTGTTTATTTTTTTCAAGAACATGCTGTTAGGCATAGTGTTGTAACATCACAGCAAAGCGTTGGTGTTGTACGCCATCTGCTGGTTAACTTTACACATAGCAACTCACAAGGGTAAAATCCGGAAAATGTCTTATTTTCTTCTCATTAAGAATCTCACATGGTAAAAGACCTGGTAAGTCATCAGTCAACTACAGGATATCATGTCTTACACATTAAATATTCTCAGGTAAATCATAATCATCATGTCTGATTTGGTTTACTGCACCAGGATTATCTATATATATAGTATTTGACTTTTTTGTGCTGTTATTTTACCACTCATATTGAGAAATGTGGCAGCAGGACAGGGCTGGCAGCTGAAGCAGCAGTTGTGTTGCCCTGTCAGCAGCCTCTTGTGGCCCCTGGGGCAGGGAGGAGAGCAGATCGACAGAGGCACCTACGTGACAGCAACACAGTTTGGGACATAATAAAAAATCATTGCATTCAAATGTGTAACCTCTGTCCTGAACAAACGTGTAACACAAAAAGAGTTGATTTCAGACTCATTGGTTTAATGTTACTGATAATTCTCCACAGTGTTCTTACTGATTCTGACTCTTCGGCATTATGCCACTCAATCTGAGTGTCATCCACTGTGAGCCTAAGAGAATCTCCCTGGAAAGATCCCACCACTCTGAGAGTCCAGACGGCCTTTCTCCAAACCCAGGTAACAATGTTATACTCTGAGTTTGGATCACCGTTCTCATCAAAATCCACAAAGCTTTCGCCTAGGGAGAATTGAACTTTCTTCAGCCAGAAAAGAAGCTACAGAAGAAGGAAAAAACAAAATTGGTAGATCACAGTAATGCTGTCATTTTGACAACAGGATCTGGGTTCTCCAGCTTACCTCCCTTGAATGCACCTTTCTATGCTGGCACACTTCAGAGTTACAGCGGAGGGCCTGGTGTAGAGCATGGGCAACGGCGTAAACTGCTTTATACACATTGAAGGAAGAGTTGATGTCATATTGCTCCAGTGAGAAGTTATTTCTGGCCAAGCTGTAGAGGTCTGTACTTTGGAGACAGTCGTTATCTGAGATTGAGGTCTTCTGGGTGTCAGTGTGCTGCAGTGAAGCCTGAACTACTTTTTTGCTGAAGTCCTCAAAACTAGAGAAAACTACAGATTTGATGGAGACCCCGATCACTGTGCCAATAGTGTGAATGCCTGGTATCCCTGAGATCAGAGTGGCCACAGACCAATCCTCTGTCCCTATCCATACTTTACCTGTCACATTACGCTCAACAACATATGGAAAAAAGCCACTGAGTTTGGACTTGCTAGAAAAGACTACTATAGTGTTGACCTTTGTCTTCAGTATGTTCTCCACCATGTTTCTCATGGTCTGAACCGTGTCAGCTTTAAGTGATGGGATGACTCCTTGATACGCAATGCAGATTCCATACTCTGGTGCCTGTTTGGAAAGACTCTGCATGCCTGTTAGGCCATAGGCGTTGTCACTTCCCAAGAGAGCAACCCATGTCCATTTGTAACGAATCAGAAGCTGGATCATAGCATGGACCTGGTTCTTGTCACTGGGGATTGTGCGTAAAAAGGCAGGGTAAAGGATCTTGTTGCTGAGCAATTCGTTTGTTGCTTCATAAGAGATCTGAAAATAAACAAAGATGATTTAGAACAAGGCCACAGTCTTCTCAGTAGACTTAACGATGGTCATATTTCCTTCACAGATATAAGAGCATACTTGTGGCATGAGATAGACCCCCAGCAAAGAAGCAGGGGTAAATGTTTTGCTGCTGCTGTCTGGCCCAATCACTGCCACTGCTTTGTTGCTGTAGCCTGAGTCTTCTTCTATCCCAGGTGTGGAACTGTTCTGGGTCTGCTGTTGTAGCAGCTCCAGTGAGGCCAGGATACTGGCTGCCACAGAGCAGATGTCGTACATCTGGTAGCCCAGCTTCACTCCTGGTAAAAGATGATGTGGACCACTGCGATTGTTGATCTCCTCAACAGCAAACCTCATTGCTTGCATCAGATGATACCCATGGCTGTTAGGTGTGCCTCTAGAAAAAGAACAAAAAAAGTGGCTAAAAGTATTGATACAGATGCTGTTTCAAAGTTCATGTAATTTAATGTACATTTAATGTTCATTCACATTGACAATAAGCTCAGTGAATTAAAAAAAAGAGTCAATTAATATTAGCTACTAATTTAACAAAAGTGCTTGATGAAATAGTTGCTTAATACAGTCCATACATTCAACCTATGGTAATATGCAGTACCATAGGTTACATTACCACACACTGAACTCACTCATTACAAAGACCCAGAGCTGGTGTATCACCACTTGGTTCATCTGCGTAGTGGAGAGGAAACAGTCCAGCGATGGAGAAGTTGCCCTGCAACTGTAACCCTTGCCCCTGAGAGATGACATACATTTCTGCATCAGTTTTCTGCACACTAAGACAGCCTAGGAAAAGAAACAATTTACTTAACATAGCTATCAATCTTCCTTCGCCACGTGTCAGAGATACTCTTATTCAGCTGCGACAAAGTGTGGCTCATGAAATGAACTGTAGGCTGTATTTGAAAAGTGTGAAGAAGCAGAGGGAGTAATGAGAGGATGTCACCTTTACATCTTTCCCGGAATGTTGGTTGACAGAATGAATATTTGCATGTGTGATTTGTTTGTGTGAGTGTAGAGTTTACCCCGTATTAAAATAAATGGCCTCTAGCGCAACACAGCAAATATGTGCCAAGCCCCTAGTTTCAAATGACTATAATGAATTATACTGAATATGATTATCTAAATATTATTTTTTCTTAAAGAAAAACATCTCTTACTAAATTATGTGGTGTAATATTTTTTAATTATCTATGTATGTATGTATAGATAGATAGATAGATAGATAGATAGATAGATAGATAGATAGATAGATAGATGGCACTTTTTATTAATATATATATACATATATATACTATATTATAATAAACTATGAGAATAATATATCAATAAGTATTACAGGAAAGTAAAAGTTAAAAAAAAATATTATTTGTATATATTTATATTTTTTGTTATAATTGTTTTAATTATTTAATTATTTACTTGAGGGCCAACAGCCTCCACTGTGATATTACAATTATTATTACGCAACAAAACAAACACAATGAGCTGTAACTAATTTTTATTAAAATTACAATCTATTCAGAATATAACAGAGTAATAATGATTTATTCAATAATTACAAATTAGAGTAAGGTCTGCTATGTGTCCAACAGGATTCATATTTAACTAATGGTCGTCCTATTATGATACATTTACTGCATATCTTTGTTGTGAGAAGGGTCTCACTGTGTGGCCAACTTTGCATTCTGGTTGATATTTGAGGCTCATTTTGTTAAACCCACCTGTTGTACAAACTAACATACAATTTGCCTGATGCTTACCTGCATCCAAACCAAAACCCATTGTTTTGACAGCAATACAGTGCATTTTTTCTACCACAGTGTTGTGAAGGCAAATAAACATGTAAATGTTTTTCTTATGATTGCTGATCATTTGCCTTGTTAATGTTTTCTGTGCTTATTGAACTGCCAAAAAGGATTTGTTATTAACTTGTTATTATAATTTGAACTCAAATGTCATTTATCTAGTGTAATTGAAACTTACTTTTTATATTTGTCAACAATTATTTTTAAGCCTCTTGATTTCATTTCAGGTGTATATTTAAACCAATAAAATAATGGTAAGGGTCTTCATCGGCTATACTGTAGATTCTGGAAGACAAAGGGTAAAGAATGTGTAAAACATGTAAAATAAAATAAATATGTCAGAGTTTTGAGCAGGAGATATTTAACATTTGAATAAATAGTTTTCCAGGATTTATTAATATGTAGAAGGATATAAACCAAAAAGAAAAAACGGTTAACAATTACTTTATACTAAGAGGTTATATTTATACACAGATGACATAGATGCTATGTCTATCCAATACGTTTGGCACTGTATCCATAGATATCATAATTGTATACAATTTTTATATTGAATTTTAAATATAGAAGATCCATCCATCCATTTTCATCCGCTTATCCGTTACCGGGTCGCGGGGGCAGCAGTCGCCACCCAAATCACATTGCACCGCACCAACCCCCCAAACTTTCCTGCAGGTGGTGAGTCCACTGGAAGGTACCAACCGCCCTAACCGGGATTCGAACTTGCCCAGGAGGTGAATCCTGGGGATTTTATAACTTTTAAGAGCACATTGACGTGGGTGGATGAAAGAAAATTTACATTTTGTGAGTGGTCACTGTTTTAAGATATATTTTTTAGGGTAGATTTGAAATTGAAAACACTGAAATTAGATTAAAAAACAATTACCAATGCGTGTATTTTATTAGTAAAATATTATTCGTATCTGTGTCGCTTTGTGTTACGTCACAGTTGTGCGACGCACATGTTGAGGTGAAAGTGCAAGGCGGCCATTTTTTTTCAAATAATCTATCTGCCGTCTGAGAGAGGCGGGAGCAAGCTGCGCGTTTCAGCGGCACATCTGAACATTTTTATTGACTTTGGTGCAATAAACAAACACCGAGAACTGTGAGGGAGAACGTCCGTGTATTTGGACTCTGTTTGAGTCGGAGGTTTAGTTCTTCGCTGCTCTGTCAGCAGACGGCTGATTAGCTCCCAGTGCTAACGTTCACCTCGGCTGTAAACAAACTCTGCAGACAGTGAAGAGACGGTGGTCAGTAAACAGCGAACCCTGTGCAGCTGCAAATCGAAACCAAGCCATAGAAAAGGCATACACCGGCGAGTGTGAGTGGACAACGACAAGCAGGTTCGGTACAAAAAGTCCGGATGTTTTCGACCCAACTTTAGTTTTTGATGACAGCGCGAGTTTCACTAAAGTAGCTCGGAGCTCAGTCGCTTCAGGGTCAGGTCTAATACCTTGACACCTCAACCCACGCTGATACCCCGGCGGCATGTCGTCATTTTCGGAATCAGCTCTGGAGAAGAAGCTGTCGGATCTGAGCAGCTCACAACAGAGCGTCCAGACTCTCTCTTTGTGGATCATCCACCACCGAAAACATTCGGGCCTGATCGTTAAAGTTTGGCACCGAGAGCTGAAAAAGGGTAAGCAGACCTGTCCCTGGTTTTCTGTTTCTAATAAATGATGCTGAAAGTCCTGTAGATTATGAAGAACTCAATAGGATGCTGTACTTGTGTTACAAAACTTTAAAAGGATACAGTGATTGTAAATAATTATACTCTAAACATTAGTTGCTGACCAGTTTGTGTGCTAAATTCAAATACTCAAAAGTCACATTGCACCTTAATTATACGTTTCTGAGTTTAGACAATAAGTTAGGGCAAGTCTCTTTTTTTTATCAAAGGTAGTAAAAATTGAAGTTGCCCAATCAACAGTTATTGTTTAGCATTTTATAGATGGGATTGAAAGGTACAAAGATTTGCATGAAATCTTCAGCCCATTATAAAAATCTATGTTAAAAAAACTTAAATGTAAGTAAAGCATTGAACTAAAATAGTCTTTTTATCAAGATATTGTTGTCTACATTGGAAAAATAATTTAGATAATTTAAGAAAAAAAATACACAATTTAACATTGATTATTTTATTCACCTTTTTTGTGTGTATCTTTATACTAGATTTATATAGTGATTAGATACTATTTATATTTTAAAAAATCAGAGTGGGTTGATCATTTTATTCATATTCTCAATGGATTATCTATGGCATATTTGACAGATACGTAGATTTATGTGTCGAATATATACTGTTTTCTTCTTGTTGTGCAGCTAAAAGCAACAGGAAGCTGACCTTCCTGTACCTGGCCAATGATGTCATTCAGAACAGTAAGAAGAAAGGACCAGAGTTCGCCAAAGACTTTGAATCTGTCCTCGTCGATGCCTGTTCCCATGTTGCCCGGTAGAAAAGAACAATTTACAAATGCTCTCAGACTTGCATTCTTTAATAAACATGTTTTCATTTGTAAAAAGTCTTTTGCTTTGTAAATAACTTCACAAAAACCTGCTCTAACGGAAGTTTCTTGATGTTTGTGATGTTATTTTCTAGGAGAATACTAATAATTAAAAAAATGATAGTGATATATTGTATCAAATTGGTGTCAACTAACTTTTTTATTATTTTATTAATTTTAAACTTGAATAAAAATATCTGTCAAATGTAATGTAATGAAACTTACATCAGGAGCAAAATTCCCTGATTTATGATTTTTTTTTTTTAAAGTATAAAATGTCTTCTGTTGAATGAGTTGTCTTGTTATTATCAAATGTTTCCAGTTTTAAACTGTCCTCTAATTCTTTTAAACAGTGAAGCCGATGAGGGATGTAAAAAGCACATGGAGAGACTCCTGAACATTTGGAAGGAGAGAAGCCTCTACAGAGGGGACTTCATCCAGCAGCTCAAACTGGCCATTGAAGACACTAACAGCCCCAGGCTGTCAGGTTGGAATGTTTTAAAATTATGTTCTCCTTCTGAAATGTTTCTAAAGTGTTGTTATGAGTCAAGCAGATATTTCTTAGCAAGCACGCTCAAATATACTTTGTTTATAAAATGTCAGTATTGCTGGTTTGATTATGATAGGAGAGACTTTTCATAGTAGGATTACTAACATACATTTGTGGCTTTGACTTCCTTTCTGACTTTGTTCTGTGATCTCCAAACAGTAGAAGAAAAGAAGCCAGTAAAACGCAGCTATCAGAAGGTCCATGATGACGAAGATGATGAAGATGATGACTATAGAAGCCACATCTCCCCTCACAGCACAGATGCCTCTGCTGCCCAGCTGGTAAGGCAGGAGTTTTATCTGTTTTACATAGTTCCACGGTTTAGTTTTTTTTTTCTAACTGCTCTGTATTTATGCAGACCGAAGAGCTGGTGAAGGCTCTACAGGACCTGGAGAACGCAGCTTCAGGTGACGCGGCTGTTCGTCAGAGAATCGCTTCTCTGCCGCAAGAAGTCCAGGATGTTTCTCTGCTGGAGAAGATCACAGGCATGTCAATGTAGCTCGATCATGAAGCTTGTGCTTATTTAGAATACACTACATATCTGAATTTTGTGATGTTTCTGTTGTTCTGCTCTATTAAGATTTTAGAATACATTTGTTTTCTCTGTCATCACCAAATTGCTTTAATGAAAGTTCACATATATTTTTACTGTGTTTTAGACAAGGAAGCGGCAGACAAACTGTCAAAGACTGTAGATGAAGCCTGTTTACTCCTAGCAGAGTATAACGGCAGGCTGGCTGCTGAGCTGGAGGACCGTAGGCAGCTGGCGCGCATGCTGACTGAATACATCGGCAGCCAAAAGGAGGCGCTGGTGGAAAGAGAGAAGAAACTAGACGTAAGACGCCACCATTGTCTTTTCAACATGTTATGAATACATTTTTACTTTTTATTTGTAGGAATTAAAAGAGAGCTGGGGTTGTAACTGAGAAGACATTTTGTAATTAGGACTTTTGTTGACCAATAAATCACCAAACAAAAACTGTTTTTATATTGTTCTTTATTCTTTTGCAGGAATACAAGCAGAAATTGGCTAGAGTGACTCATGTGAGGAAAGAGCTCAAGTCACATATCCAGAGTCTCCCTGACCTTTCACTCCTGCCC